AGAAGAGGTTTGAAAAGAATGCGAGATAATACCTCAAAAACTTTTGGGCATCAATTCACATTAGAGTTATTACAAGGAACTAATAATCAATGCATTGAACTCTTACGTATGTCACGTGATTCTTATGTTCGGCTTTGCACACATTTTAGAGTAAAAAGTTGGTTAAAGGATAGTAAACATATATCGGTTGAAGAGAAAATGGCGATGTTTTTTATGATGATTGGTCACAATCAACGTTATGTAATCATCAAACGTAGATTTCAACACTCAAAACAAACGATTCATAAGTATTTTTATGAAGTATTGGATAAAATGATGGTGTTTGCAAAAGATATAATAGTACCAACTTCCTTTAATCCAAATCCAAACATCCCGGGACATAATAGGAGGTTACGAAGGATTTTCAAAGGAGCGGTTGGTGCGCTTGATGGAACTTTGGTACATGCTATTGTCCCTCTCGACAAACAACATTTGTATAGAGGAAGGGGAAAAGGCGACTGCTATCAAAATGTATTGGCAATATGCGACTTCAATATGATTTTTACATTTGTCGTGGCTGGATGGGAAGGGATAGCACATGATTCAAGAATATTATCTGAAGCTTTAACAGATTGAGATGCACCATTTCCATTTCCACCACCAGGTTTGTTTACATTTTCAATTTAATATTTCTACTTTTTTTAAATTAATTATTTCCTTATATTTACAGATAAGTATTACCTCTGTGATGCCGCGTATACACACACTCGAGGATTTATGGCTCCTTATCGTAATGTGCGGTATTGGCTTGGAGATTTTCATCGAAGACGTGCATTAACCAACAAAGAAAAATTTAATCAATCACATGCAAAACTTCGAAATGTCGTTGAAAGTGCTTTTGGTCTCTTGAAAGCACGTTTCCCTATATTGAAGAGAATGGCTCCATTTCCATTGGTTACACAAAGAAACATCGTCATTGCATGTTTTGCGCTTCATAATTATATAATAAAAGAGGGATTAAGTGATGAGTATTTTTCTCAAGATAATCAAGTCGATATATCACTTCAAAGCAACAATGTACAAGATGATGATGATGAGGAGGAGGATGACGTGGATGAGGTATAACCACACGGAAGTGCAAGAGACCGGGAATATATGGTTCATAAAAATATGTTAGTTTTGTGAAATATATATAGTTTATCTAATGTTTTAAAAAATATTATATGTTTGAAATTGTATGAAATTTTTATTGGCAAAGTTTGAGTCAAATATTGGCAAAGTTTAAGTCAAATATAAATTTTAATATATTAGTAATGTATGAGATGCTGAGTTTTTAGCATTTGAGCTTTGGTTGTTTCAACATTAATTTCAAAGATTGGTTTTGTTTTTGAACAATGAAAATTAATGCAAATCGGGTGGCAACGTGTAAGTATACAATTCTTAGTAAGAAAAAATCTAATGTGTATTTTTACGTTGCTTTTTTATATTATCTAATATTTTCTTACAAAATACTATAAATCTATTAAATTGTTCGTAAATATTATTAAATGGATAGGTTTTTCAATTTATTAAAAACCAACATGAATTATTCGTATTTTAATATGAGAAAAAAATATGGTTAATTAATCTCCTTTTTTACAAGATCTCTTAAGTTTTAGTTCATTCTAATTAAAAAACAAACAATCTTTTTGCATTAAGACTTTTTGTATGAATACATAAAAAAAGACTTTTAGTCCACGTCTTCTTCCGCAGACATGGAAAAAGACAAAAGACATTTGACCACTTCCAAAACAAACACCACCTAAGCCTCCATTGTTGCTCGTTCAAGCTTTCTTACCATTATGGGTGATTTGAAGGAAGAAGGAAGAAGGCAACCATTGGAGATTCAAGGATTGGCAGTAGATCCAGAGTTTGTGGGATTTTCCAGAGCATTTGAAGGTAATGAGTCGCTACCTTCACTCCTTTGCATATAGATCAACCTTTATCATGAGATTTGGGGCTTTTAGGGCAAGTTTAAAAACCATTTCGAGTTAGAAGCCCATATCTGAAGTTGCTACTTCAGATCTAAGTGTATTTTGGTCTAGAGAATCATAAAGCATCATTCTGTGGGTTGATTGTTAATCCCCTTTGTCTTAAACCCTAGTTTATAGTGTTTTGAGCCAAGATCTCCTTAGTTACACGTAAAGTTTGCCACTTTACATAAGGAATAGGCTTTAGAAGAGTGGATCTACAGTTTGGAATCCATGCATGACTTAAAAGCCTCTTCTTATGTGAAGGACTGAATAGACTCGGCGAGTCCTTCGAGTGGACTCGACGAGTAGTATGAAGATGGAGATGAACTCGACGAGTTGGATGAACAACTCGGCGAGTCTGTTGAAGATTGCCTTGGACTCGGAGAGTCTATTCGTGGTCTCAGCGAGTCAGGTCGCGAAACCCCAAACCCTTCGAGTTAAGACTCGGATCAGTGAGTTTAGTGGGGACCCAATGAGTGGATAGGTTAGGACTCCGAAATCAGTAGACTCGGCGAGTCGAGTCGCGAATGAAAGGGATTTCAGAGCTTATGAACTCGGCGAGTCAGTAGGCTAACTCGGCAAGTAGGGTCAACCTGAAAGGTTGACTGTGACCATGACTTTGACTTTTGACCAGAGTTGACTTAGTTGACTTTTGAAGGACTGTCAGACTAAGTATCATTTTGATGTTGGTAGCTCAGAGAGTTAGAGGAGCAGCGGCTTAGAAGGTTGTCAGCTAGCAGCCAGGGGGTTATCAGTAGGTTCAGCAGCACCAGGTGAGTTTCCTTCCAGTAGGAACGGGTCTACGGCCACAATGTCGACCCGTTTAGTTAGCAGTAGTTCTAGACTTCAGTTCGAGGCAGTAGTCCAGTATGTTTGGAGTCTTTGTGATACAGGCACGGTATGAGTTATGTGTTCCGGATTATGGTCCGATGCAGTATGCAGTACATGTGTTCATGTTATATGCTATGATTATGTTATGCTATGTTCAGTTAGTTATGGACCTCGGTCCGATGCAGTAATTAGTGTGCTTGATGTCTCTGTGATTCAAGCATGCTTATGTGTTACGTGTTCCGGACTTCAGTCCGATGCAGTACGCAATATATGTGTTTATACTAGTTGATATGTGTTTATGCTATGTTATGACCAGTCAGTTCCAAACTTCGGTCGGATGCAGTGGACATGGTCCCAGTTAGTCCGGGCTTCGGCCCGATGTAGTTTTCGGACTTCGGTCGGATATAGGGGACATGGTCCCAGTTAGTCCGGGCTTCGGCCCGATGCACTTTCTGTACTTTGGTCCGATGCAGGGGGCAATGCCCCAGTTAGTCCGGGCTTCGGCCCGATGCAGTTTCCGGACTTGGGTCCGATGCAGTGGGCAAGGCCCGGTATGTGTTTACATGTTGTTGTATAGTATGTGGTAGTTTGGGGGATCTCACTAAGCTTCGTGCTTACAGTTTCAGTTTTGGTTTCAGGTACTTAGTTTTCAAAAGAGGAGCTCGGGAAGATTGCAGTGCACACACCATTTGTTCAGCCTGGGATGTTCATACTCTGATATACTTGACAGTTGTTATGATATTTTGAGATACATTGCTTATGATTTTTATATGAGGTTTATCGACTATGATTTTTATTATTAAATTAAACAAAATTTTCAGGCTGTGTTTTTGGGATGTTTCAGTCTTCATCGTCGGTGTCACCGCCTTCAGCCACACCTTCGGTGAAGAAGAAGGACGTCGGCGATCTGAAATTGTAACTTGTCGGATCTTATAACCCTAACTAGCCGTTCGATCTGAGAGAGACGAGACTCGCTGTAGAATGAGCGAGAGACAGAAGCAACATTTGTGGCTCGAGTTTCCAAACGAAGCTATCGTCAAGTTGTGAAGACGACGATATTTATAGATTTGGAACGTCGTCGATGAAGCCACCTTCGAGAATCTGAAATGCATCCTTACAAAGCATGAATCGACAGATCAGATAGCGACGCCTCAGATCCTCCTCCGTTCAGATCTGGAAGCCGGTTTGTAGGATACCACCGTCAAAAGCAAACATATCGCCTCTCGCCGCCCTTCGTCTTCCCCTCCGACTCGATTATTCCTCAACAAAACCTAGCTTAAAGCAAACCCTCATTGTGTAGATCTGTTTCCATCGTCAGAAAGGAAACAAAGAGCATGTTGGTGAGGGTTCTGATCGGAGGTGTTCCAATGTGTGCGTGTGTGTGTGTGAGTGAGTGAGAGAGAGAGAAAAAGAGAGAGAGAGAGAGAGAGAGAGAGAGAGAGAGATGGTGGTGGTGTTTACCGGAGGGAGGACTGAAAACATTTTTTTTCTTTTTTGTTTAATTTAAATCAGAAATATAACAAAATAAAAAATAGAAAATAAGTAATAAAGGGCAAATATTTCATTTAAGAAAAGACAAAATTGCAAAAATGGTCCCTGTGGTATGCATTTTTTGGGGTTTTCGTCCAAACCATGACTTTTTTTGGATTCTTGGTCCTTTTGGACTAGTTTGTATGTAAAAATAGTCCTTCCGAAAATTGAAATGACTAAATTAGCCTCTTGATATATTTGTTATATTTTTTTCTATTTAATTTAATGTTTTATTAATATAATATAAAATAGGACCCACACCTCATTCCCTCCCTCCCTCTCTCTCTCTTTGTCTTCATCTGGTTAAAGGAGCAGTGGGAATGTGACGGGCGAAAGCTGAGAAAAACAAGGCCACAATCGACGGGTACGGGTCGTGGTTAAAAACGAATCGCGGAGAGGGGAGGAGGAAGGGCGTTGGCATTGCCGGGCCGCTCCGACGACCTACTTCGTCTTTTGGTCAAATCAACTGCAACATAGGAAGGAAAATCGATTGTTGGTGGTCCTGAGGAGTTTAATCAAGCAAAAAGAGTGAAAATCGAGACTTGTGGTGGTTGTATTTGGCATGTCAGTCAAATGAAAGGGAATGGGTCTTCGAATCCCATCTAATCGAACAACAATCTTCCTTCTGTCTTCTTTTCCTGATTCGCTATGAAGCACGAAGGAGGAGTCGATTTTTCCGACGGTTCAAGCCTTCAATTGGGGTTGTGGGGGTTGAGAAGGGTAGCAACAATCAAAGAGGGTGCATGTGGTAGTGTTTCTCGGCGGAAGGAGGAAGGGAAGGGGATATGGAGGTGGTGACAGTGGGGAATCGCGAAAACATCACCTGTGATTCTAGTTCTTCGACAGGGGAAGGAGACGAACGGGATGACAGTCATTAAGAGGGTTGTGAAGGGGTATCAGGATAATACAACAACAATTTTGGGGGTGTTTGACAGCGGGTGCTCGGTGGAAATAGGCGGAGACAGTTGAGCCTGCTACTACCGACGAAGAATCACCGGTCCTTTCCTTCTTCTTCGCTGGTTCTACAATGAGAGTGGGTGTTTTGGGTGATGCATCATCAGGGAGAGAGATGTTCTTTATTATTTTTTTAATTGTTAAAATAAATAAATAAAGATTAAATTTTAAAAAAATGAAAAATAAATACCCCAAGGATATTATAGTCATTTCAATTTTCGGAGGGATTATTTTCACGTACAAACCACTCCAAAAGTACCATAAATCTAAAAAACTCGGGATTTGGATTTAAACCCCGAAAAATTACATACCACAGAAACCATTTTTTCAATTTTATCTAAAAAAATTCAAAATAATTAAACCAAACTCACCATTAAATCAAAATTTTGTACCGCAACTGTGAGTCCAAACTTATTCGGACAAAATGACAATTTTACATGAACATGGACTTAAAAAAATGGCATTTTTGTGATTTCCTTTTCAAAAAATTCGACCTAAAGCCCACTTCATTTCCAATAGAAGGTGAACAAACGTCTGGTAGAAGGAGAAGGGAAACATCTACCACATTCCAAGAACGCAGAAGCAAAGCAGGATCAGTTGGCTGTACAACCTTTCCGTCGTTTGTTGGTAACATTTTTCCCTCTTCTTTCATCTTCTTTTTGTTGAAATCATTGCAACATAAACATGGCTAGTGAAATCCTGGCACATATCGTTCTAACGCTGAAGCATACATGTTCAATTTCCCCCTCAGTGTTCAATTACTATTCGTTGCTATGAGTTCATGGACAATATTCTCGTATTCTGGTACTTATTCTAGTTTAGGAATTTATTCCTAGCATGAATGTTCGATTTAAGAAATATTCTCACGACAGGTAAATAGAGAGTGGATTTTATTATTCTGTTTCCTCGTGAAGGTTTACGAATCTCTCAAATTCTGATATACGATTATTCAGCTGTTCCGTTTTCTTCGACTGAACTACGACAATCTACTCATATTTCTGAACTCTGTAGTTGAAAAGAATTTTGATTTTTTTGCTGTAGATTCACCGATTTTGTCTCTTAAGATGGCAAAGGCGTTATCTAAGATGGTCTTAAATGGGATTGTATCGTTCAAATCTTCTCGTGCAACATCAATGGTACGACATGATATAGTAGTCATTGAACTCTTTACCAAAAATCATGTCGTCCATATCCATGTAACCTTTTCTAATCAACACAAGATTAAAATTCGTATTTCTTCTAATTTTCAGGCTTCTGGATCATTGTATCATTATGGAATGGGATTCTCAACAACTGCACCCAATGATCCTGATACACATGATGATTTTAAGCCAACTAATAAGCTTGAGAATTCAGGAGTCACTCTGAAAGACATCGTTGAACAGGTAATCTGTAGTTGCAAGTGACTGTATTGATAAAGTTGTCATTTAGTTAAGTTGTTGAACAACATGAACCTGGTGTGTAGGATGTGAAGAACAACCCTGTGATGGTTTACATGAAAGGTGATCCTAATCGCCCTCTCTGTGGATTCAGCTCACTAGCAGTCAAAATCTTGCAAGAATACAGTAAGTGCTCAAATCACATGACAATTTTGCTTTACTTTTTTTTTGGCTAAAATTGCTTAACCATTGAAAAATGTGCATTTGTTTTTGACTTTCTGTAGGAGTTCCCATAAGTTCCAGGAACATATTGGAAGATTCTGAGCTTAAGAGTGCTGTAAAAGCTTTCAGGTAATATACACTTTCTTAAATTTTGTTTTGCTAATGTATAGTTTGGTATTTTCTTTGATTTCTGAACTCATAGTAATCTTTAAATGACCAAAATTCATGATATATATTTACTTGTTTTGTAGCACTTGGCCGACGTTTCCTCAAATATTCATCAATGGAGAATTCAGTGGAGGGTCGGATATTATCCTTGACATGCATAAGGCAAGTGATCTCTCCTTAATAAACCATCTGAATGAAACCACATGACCATTTTACCCTTACATTCCATCTCACATCATCAAGGTTCCTATTTTTTGGGGGCTAGCCTTTTGAGCAATTGAAAAGGTTGGTTACTGTTCCCGTTTCTTATTGACTTAATGGGGACAATACTTAGTTGCTGTGCCCCCCCCCCCCCCCCCACACACACACACACACACACAAAGTCCTGTATAGGTAATGATGTTTGTAACTCTATATGGATAAAATTTTGCATGCATAAGGTCTGTTTTTTTTTTTTTTTTTTTCTCTGGACTAAATAAACTATCTTAATGAAAGAATGAACCTAAATGACCGTTTTACCCTTACATTCCACCAAATAGTTTTTACTATATTCATCAATTTTAACATGTGAGGGAAAAAAAGAAGGGAAAATAGGTGGTGTATTAATACATTAAACCAGTTTTTTTTTTTTCCTTAACCCCTTTAGTCCTTCTGTCCAGATTAAGTCTAATAGAAGCAACCATGTATTGCTGTCTAGATTAAGTGCTTAACCCATTCAGTAAAAAAGAAACAACCCTGTAATAGAGAATAAGCTATATAGAGGTGTTTTTTTTTCTCATTAAGTTGTAACTTTTTACAAATTTGTCTGCAGAAGGGTGAGTTAGAGGAAAAGCTAAAGGTAGCAGTTGCATCAAAGCAGTGACCGGTCTTAATATAGAGTCCTTGTGTTCAAGTTGTTAGATATTTGTATCAGATAAAGTGTAAAGTTTTTTTTTTTTTTTTGGTTGTTTTTATAAAGCTGTTATTTTAATGTTTATTAAACCATTGTACTTTCAAAGTACAATGCTTATATAAGAAAAGAAAAGAAAGAAAATATTAAGAATTAGAAATGAAAATTGGATAAGCAAATGAAAATACATTGATATTTCTTGCATGTAGCCCAACCAGGGGCTAAATGCAAAATATAACAATGTACTTCCATTTGTTTGTCTAATATAGCATCATACTTTTGTTTCTATTTCTTAGTTTTCTAAAATTTTATTTCAATGTTTTTTCTTATTAAAGCATTGTGCTTTTAAAGTATAACGCTTAAATAAAAAAAGAAAACAAAACAGAAAAAAAAAAATTAACAATTAGAATTGAAAGTTAGATGCTATATTGAGACACTCAAAAAGTTTTAAACTCATTTTCTATGAAGTTTTAGAGCAGTTGAAATGCATTGCTATAATCGGTTAAGTAAAATAAGTACATTGTTATAAGTGCATTGATATAATGGGTAAAATAATATTGTTATAATCGGATAAATAACACAAGTACAATGTTAAGAGAACACATTCACTATTTATATCTCAAACAAAGAAAGAAGATGCTATTCTAGTACAACCAAACAAAGCTCCAAAAGGATGAGCCAATATGAGAAAACTTCAGCGGTTGCCTTATAACTTCTACCTCTTGTCATTTCTGATTATTAGTTGTGAATAATTACATTAAAAATAGGATGCTATTATAAAAATAATGCAATTGATTTTATAAAATAGCATCCTACTTTATAGTGAGCAAGAAAGTAATGGATTGCTTAAAGAAAGTTCCATGCAGACAACAAACAAAAGCACGTTGCTATTTGTTTTAGTGATGTGCAGAAAACCAAAAATCAGATAAAAAAGAAAAACAGCTCTGACCTATTTCAAAAAAAAAAAAATGGATAGTGGAATGAATATGACCAAGTCCTCTTAGATATGGGTTGGTATGGGTGGTACTGCATCAATTTGAAGGTGTTGCTCTCCACCTAGATTGACGGACACAAAAGTAGGATATATAACATAAGAAAAAAGCATAAAAACTATGTTGCCATTTCTTGCAATTTATGCTAAAAACAACTTTCAAGTTTCAACAAAGCCACATTGTTGTTTCTTGCATTTCTAACCCATTTAAGGCAATGTACTTTGAAATTCAACACATGGACTAAAATCATTAAGAAACCTCAATATAAAAACCAAGAAAAATTACTTCTCTAGAGCAAACTTACAAAAACCAGCTTACTTAGAGGATGAGGTAGTCAACTTTCTCATAGCTAATTTGAAACGGTTATGCAATCTATATCAAGTTTCTTTGCCCAATAGCCCTCGCACAACATTAAATGCTCAAATAGGCCCTCGATCTATCACCAAGTTCACAAAAATCACAAATTTAGTCACATATGTGTAAGAAGAAAGAAAGATATGGGTAGAAACCAAACAAATATTGATATCATATTAGTTAGTGTCAATATCCTCCGATCGTGTGTTAAACAGTTATACGGACATGGACATGGTGTTGATACCCTCATACTTATGTTACAAAAATGTATAAAAAACTACAAAATATATCATTAAGAATCTTTAATAGAATATTAGATAAAAAAAGTAAATTACATTTGCGGTCCCTAAATATAGAAGATTTTTAAAATTTTGGTTCTCATCTGAGCACATAAATTATATTATCCCAACCTATATAGGTTTAACTTCTTTAACAAGTAATTTATATAATTAAATTTAGTTTTAAGACAACCACTTCTCACCCGCATAATACTGAAAAATACTAATTAAATTTATCTTCTTTTTCTTTGTCTTGCTACACATAACACATAAAAAATATTTTTAACAATAAATCAACAACGTAAAAAGAAAACTTTTTACATTGTTTATCAGATTTTAAGAATGAAACACCCATCGCTATGGTAGTTTAAATTACTTTTGAAATCATTTAATTTTAAATTCCAAATGGTTTTTAAGTTTATTAGTGCGCAAAATACAATCCCAAATACCAAAACAACAATTAATAGTGAAAAAATAGAGGTTGCGGCAATTCACTATTATAACATAATTCAAGATTAGTACACAAGTCGTGGTCTTCAAAATAAACTTGCTATCTTCTACTCTATCTCTATAGTCTTCGATCTGAACACATGTCAAAATATATGTAATACCTATTTTCTAAACAGGCACTACCATAAGAGATATAGATTGTTGTGTGATGAACAAATGAGATAAAGCCCAGAGTTGCTCTAATTCGAGAAATGTTATTTAACAAAATATAGTTGAGGAATGTTGTAGTTCGTGTGATGATGATTTCGTAGATATAAAGTTTGTTGAAACAGAGTTCGTATGAGAAAGTTACGACTACTTGAAGTTGAGATGAAGGTAGGTTGTTATTTCAAGAAAGTCAAGTCAAAGGTCAATCTTTGAGCATCACGACGTGACATATGACGAGTCACCGAGACACGTGGCTATAGAGTGCGAGTAACGATCCGAAAAATCATGCCATAAAATATTTTATTTTTAGATTTATAAATCGTTAATACATATTCTTCCCAAAAACCAATGTAACAAAACTTTAACATAGCATCATCAAACCACAGTAGTTCGCATAATATGAAAACATGTGGTGTGTGCTCTGCAATCATCCAGAGCTCTCCCAATTGAAAATTGAAGTACCTGAAACATAAACTGAAAACCGTAAGCACAAAGCGTAGGGAGTTCCCCAAAATACCATACAACATACAACCACAAATTATCATTCAACATATATATAACTGCCATAGCCTCCCCCATGGTCTTTATCTGGAATGTCATAGGCTCCCCCCATTATCTTTACCAGGAATGTCATGGGCTCCCCCCATGGTCTGATATCCAAATACCATGGGCTACCCCGGGGTCTTCCATGCAAGTATCACAAAGACAGTTAGCATATTACATAACACGTAATGGATCGGTATTGGTACCTTCGACCCATGGATATTAGGGCTGTGCAAAAAACCGCACAAACCGCCCACACTGCACCGCATAATACGGTTTAAAATTTCGCGGTGCGGTTTGCGGTTCATCATTTTATCAAACCACACTATGCGGTGTGGTTTGCGGTTTGTATTTATAAAACTGCGGTTCAAACCGCACCGCACCGCATGTTATATATACTTTTTTTTCTTTATTTTGTTATAACTTCAAATCACGATTTAGAAATGATGTATATAAATATATTTCTTACAATAACCAAATATTTATAACGTAACATTAAATCACTATTAGATCAAGATCTCATGGTTTACAATAATATATAAATTATAACGGCAATATAAAGCAATAACAATGATACTTACAAAACTATAGTAACATGAGTCACAATTTATTAAAAAACGATTTAACTTGAAAATTGTATTTGTTTTTATAAAATAAAAGCAATCATTTTTTTTAACCTGGTCAGGTTTTTAGTTTTTTGATAGATTTAATGTTAAACAACACATCAAACCGCACAAACCGCAACTAAACCGCATAAACCGCCCGCATCAAACCGCACCGCATCATGAGGTTTTGAACATCTGTGGTGCGGTTTGCGGTTTTGACTCGAAACCGCACCAAACCGCATCGCGCACACCCCTAATGGATATAATGAAAAGACTCACCTCGGGAAGCTGAATCCCACAGATACTCTCCAACTGCAGATCCGCTAAAATCCATGCGCTATCAAACAAATAACACCCAATTAGAAATTGGGTTCCAAACTATGATCCATAATCCATAATTAAGGTAAAATGACCATTTTACCCTTGACTCATCTTGAACCAAACTGAGGCCCATGCCCAAAATTAAGGCCTAAAACTGCTAGATCCATAAAAGCCCATTAATTACCCAATTTTCCAAATTGGGCCCAACCCCATATGGGCCTTATCCTAAAGCCCAATAATTCCTTAGTCAATAACAAATCTCAGAAATCCCAAAGACACCACGAGGCTCAAGCCCATTGGGGCCACAAGGCCCAACAAAGAATTCCTATAACCTAGTCCAAGAATGAGTCCAATTCCAAAAACAATTCCTCAATCCATAAGTCCAACACTCAAAGCACAAGACCCAAAACCAAGGCTCAAAGTCCAAAGGTGACAAACAGACCCAAAATGGCATTGGACCATTTACGCTGGGTATACACACACCGGTATGTTGGGCGTATACCCAAAGTCCATAGTACGCGGGGTGCAGAGTCAATTATGCTGGGCGTAACTGCGATTTCTTCCAAAAACAACTTGTGACGTAATCCCTTAAGCACTTAGCCCCAAAACCTCATGGAACCCTCATAATAAGCTCTTAACTTATAAAGTTGTCGACTTTATCAGTTTGCATGTCTCAATGGGATCCAATAATCATCTTGATCCATAAAGGACCCAATAAACTCCAACTAGAACATGCATGGACCGAAGAGGCTCCTAATGGACATGGGAACCGAAATAGGAGATGTGAGATCACTACCCGAACTTATCTGTGTCGGTAGACTTCGAGGATGAAGTCTAGTTCAAATGGCATAATTTTTTAGGGTTTGTGTTAGGACTCGATGAGTTGGGGAACCCGACTCGACGAGTAGAGATCGATTTTGGACGCGGGATTTAGGGTCTACTCGACGAGTTGGAAGGCCCCAATTCGATGAATAGACACTGTAAAGAGAAACCCTAATTTTCAGGGATTTGTACCCTATTTAAAAAACTTTTGGCTCATTTGTAGCCTCTTCCATCGTCCTTACAACCCAGAGAAACCCTAGTTCGAGTCTTATACCTTCTTGAGTGCGAGATAGAGCTTTTGAGAGTGATTTTGGTGTGGTTGTGAAGAATTTTGAAGCTTGAAGAAGAAAGAGTAAAGAGATAAGCAGTAGATCCGACATCTACTCTGTATTGGTGACCATCTTGAGGTATAAAGTCGCTATCTTGACCTTTAGTTGCTTAGATCTCATTTCATGGAAGTAAATGTTCACCTTTGATGTACAATGGTGTCACTTTTTGGATTGGACCTTGTTATGAGGATAGGGTTCATATATGGACATCCTTAGACCTCTATGGACATAAAGTTGCTCACTTTATCCAACCTTAGCC